CATATCCGGGGCTATCTCTATGGATAATGCTAGGGGCTTGCTATGCAAAGTCAAGTCTAAGGTTCAAAACTCTCCCTAAACCTCCTAGAGTTGCCCTCTATGAGCAGAGTAGATTCAACACTAGTTTTTATAGTCTTATGCTCAAACACCTCTTGCTCTGCTGGGTCATCTTCCAAAGTTTTAGAAAATTGGCTAGTCACCACTCCATTCACTAAGTCAACACTAAAGTAATGATCTTCACTTGGATATTGGGGAAATCTCAGAGTTCGTGATATCAAAAGTTGCTTCCTCATCATTCACCCTCATGGTTAATTTCCCTTGTTGTGCATCAATCATTGTCCTATTAGTGGCTATGAAGGGTCTTCCTAAAATCAGGGATATCTTATCCTCCTCCATGTCCGAGCCTACAAAATCGATAGGGAATATGAAGCTTCATACCTTAATTAATACATCTTCAATGATACCCATGGGGAAGGCTAAGGATCTGTTAGCTAACTATGGGGTCAAGCTGGTGGGTGTAGCCTCTCCTAATTCTAGTCTTTTGAAAATCGAAAGTGACATCAAACTAATGTTTGCTCCCAAATCACAAAGGGTTCCCAACAAATTTCTCTCCTATGACTCGTGTAATAGTGAAACTATCGGGATCCTTAATCTTTTCAGGTTACTTCTTTTGCAAGATTATACTACACTCTTTTGTAAGTGCTACTATCTCTCTATTTCCTAATTTCCTTTTTTCCGATCAACACATCCTTCATGAATTTGACATAACTAGACATTTGTTCGAGGGATTCAACAAAAAAACATGTTTATAGTTAACTTCTTGAAGACCTCTATAATCCTAGAAAACTGCTGATCCAATTTTTTCTTTTGCAACTTTTGAGGGATTAAGGGTGGAAGTCTCTCAGGTTCTTTCGTTTTCAGGGTTTTAAGTTTTTCAGTTTCCTTAGCAAGTTTTTCTTCCTCTTTTTCCAAATTAGATTCCACATCTCTGGGGGCGTTCACAATGAGTTTCATTTAACTCCCTACCACTTCTTAATTTCACAGCTTACCACTCCTTAATTTCACAGCTTGGACCAGCGCCTTTCCTTTCTCTTTGGGATTTTTTCACTGTTACTAGGGAGTTCTCCTGGATTTCTATGGCTGAAACAATTCACTAATTGCCCCAATTGTCCCTTAATGTTCTTAATTGCTAACCTGTGACTTTATGTTATCAAATGTAATTGTCTCACAAACTCCTCCAAAATGGTTAGTTTTTGGTTCTGATTTGGGTTAATTCTAGGGGGTTAGGTCGGTCTTTGTCCTTGGACAAATTGGTTTTGTGCTCCTCTCCCATGATTGGCTTGGTTATTGGTGTTCCACTGCAAGTTGAGGTGTTGTTTTCATCTAGGATTGTAGGTGTTTGAATATGGATTGTTGGTCTGGTTCTGGTTTCCCATGACTTTCAGGGCTTCTAAGGATGAGGGGGTAGGGTTTATCAAAATCTTGTCTCTAAACTCTTTTACGTAGGGTGGGACTTATACTGCATTCACAGAGAGATTATCCAATTTCTTGGATATGGCAGCAACTTAGTTAGTTAAGATATTCAGGACATCTGTTTCATGCACATTAGCTACTTTTTTGAGTTGCACCCTTTCAGCAGGCTATTGAAAGCTGTTGGTGGCCATCTCCTCAATGAAATCATATGCCTCCTCATAAGGTTTGAACATCAATGAACACCCAACATCAACATTTATAAGGGACCTAAGGGAACCTATAAGTCCGTTGTAGAAGGTTTGGACAATGAGCCAGTTGGGTAAGACATGATGAGGACACTTCCTAAGCAACTCTTTAAATTTTTCCCAGGTCTCATAAATGATTTCTCCCTCAAATTGTGAGAATGATGTGCTGTCATTCCTAATTTTGACAGTTTTGGAATGAGGGAAATACTCAATTAAGAATTTTTGAGCCAAGCCATCCCAAGTAGTTATGGATCCACACATTGGCTCTATCCCTCAAGGAAAAAAGCATTAGTCTAACAGTGTAATTGGGACACCATTATACCTAAATGTGACATACTGTTCTAGGAAATTCGCTAAGTGCAAATTTGGGTCTTCAGTGGACACCCCCCCCTCCCAAAAATGTGCAAATTTGGGTCTTCAGTGGACACCCCCCCCTCCTCCCAAAAATGGTTTTGCTGAATCATTTGAATCATGACAGGTCTTAGTTCGGAGGCATTGATTTCTATTGCAGGGTAATTGATGCTCATATGAATCTTCTAAGTAGTGGGGTTGACAAAGTTCCTAAGAGGTCTCATGGTTGGGTTCAGATGGTGAGCCACTCCTACATGTGTTTCAAGTGCGTTGAGGGCTCTTCTACGACGTCTAAAGTCCGCTCAATTTCAGGGTCAATTGGTGCAAAGTCAGTGCGCTCACCTCTATGCATACACTAGAAGGAAACTGAATGTTAACTCACAAACTAGTGATCATAGACTCAAAGAGAAAAACTCAAAAGAAAAACACCACAACTGACTCCAAACAACAAACACAAGAGTTGGTTCAACATCCAATCACAATCAACATGCAAAGACTCAAAGAAATGCAGAAAAATAAAATGATTAACAATAATATTTTTTTAACTTTTTGTTTTTTTTAAATTTTTCAGCACTTGCAAAGAGAAACAAAGAACAATAAAAGTTCACACAGAAATAATGAAAACAACAGGAAAAAAAAACTTCAGACATGAAAATAAAAACATAAACAATATCGAGCTTAGATTTCTAGTTGTTTAACTACAATTCTCTTATGTTTCAAAACTTTTTCTCAGCGTAACTTCCTTGGCAACGGCGCCAAAAATTTGATGGCCACAAAAACACCACGAAGTGGGTGGCCACTTGACGCAAATACACATGTCCAAGTAGTATGCAGTTTTAAAGGACTATCGCGTCTCGTTCTCACGAGAAAACGTGTTAAGAAATCTATTTGAAACAACAAGAGTTGTAATTTACTAACTATTCCAATCTAGTTCGGCGAGATCAAAAAACAAGAAAGGAAATCCTAATCCTATCAAACTTTACATAAAACAAAACAAAAAAAAGAGCGGATCAAGTTCTTTGATAATTTTTCAAAATTAATGAGGATCGTACCTGTATGATTTACGTAAATTAATGAGGATCGTACCTGTATGATTTACGTGTTACACTTTGCTTGATTTTCGTGCAAATTTCTCTTACGTAGTTGTTATCAAACAGGTATATTGTATTCTTCTTGAGCCTATGTCTAGGTCCCAAGAAGATTTCAAATTTCACAAAGATAACTTCCGCCTATCTTTATGACATCCTCCAATAAATTTAGATTTCTGGTAATGGTTCAAGATTCAGAATAAAATATTTATTTTTTACTCGGATCTCGTGGTTAATCTAATCGTTTCACCGCGCTTCTGCCGAAGTAGTAGATCACGTTAAATTTTAACATGCTAACTAATTTGATTTGGAGTAAACGATGTCTAGAAGGTTAAACAACAACATTCATTAAATTTTAGCACTGAAAAACTTATATGAGAAATCAAGAACAAAAATCAAACCAAGAAATCTATAAAAAAATCACAGAGGCACGAAAAGTTTTTAGCTGCTCATTGCTTGAAAGAAAAGAAATTGAAATTTCATTGAAATAAAATATGCAGGAAACATTTTTATTGAAATAAAAGTAAGTTAGAGCCCTTTGATCTCGTCTCTCACAAGAATAACACTCAACTTCTCTCACAAAACTCTCTCAGGAAAAAAAAATGACAAAGAAATCTGAGAGTAGCTAAACCTTAGCCTCATTTTGTAATCTCCTCTCCAAAAAGCACTATAAAAGTCTCCAATTAAGTTATTTTTATAGCACGAGTTCAAAATTCTTCCTAATTTCATCAAAATCCTACAATAAAATTTTTCCCAAACATAAAATATACACCGGTGTGACCACGCCTGACCTGCAGCGTAATTACGCCGTATGCTCGGGTTGGGTGGCATGATCACACCACAATTCGATGTGGCTACTCCGATCGTTCCATCGCGTGACCTTCTTCAGCCTTTGGGCGTGACCACGCTGCTCAAGTGGTGTGGCCACGCTAGATCGAGGCATGGCCATGCCAGTCCGATTTTTCTCCAAAAGTCATGTTTTGCTCCGATTTACGTGCTAGTCCTCATGTACCCCGCAAAATGTAATTCTAACATTTCAAAATGTGTAAAATCATGTATTTAAAGAAAAAAATTGCTTGAATTAATGCATAAAAAATATAAAAATTTAACGCATGTCACTATTCCCTTCCTTGCTCGCTGCCATCGACCCTAAGAGCCCTCCTGTTTAGTTCCCCACTGCTGCCAGCCCTACGACCATCTCCTACTGCTGCCGTAAATTCCTCATGCTTCCACTGAAATTGCCGTAGCCCCCTCCTGCTTTGCTGCTACCGTAAGCCTCTCCCGCTTTCATTGCTGCTGCCATGAACCCCCCCACCTGCTGTCCAGCTTGTGTTCACTACTTTCATCTCGCCCTAGGACATTGTTTGTGTTTTGTGTTATTTTTTTCTTGTTTTAAGTAGCTTCATGTAATCATCTTGAATTTTCAGAAATACTACTATCATTTTGTTGTTTTTGGGCTAACTCTCGTATCAATTATTATATAGAATTATAACCGGAAAGGTCCATGGGATATTTATTGAACTCTTTATGTATTGTTGATGCATGTGTTTTAATTTTCCTAGTAATGAATTTTTAATTAAAATTGGAAAAAACGAGAAGTTTATGGGACGTTATAGTATTATAAAGTTAATGATTATACCGTCAAAATATTTTTTTAACAACATGATTCTATCTGTTTTGGGTTTGGACCTTCACTATTAAATTTTTGATACTGCTTCCTGTTTGCTGGGATGCTTTAATACAACAAAAATCTTTGCTTATGATTTTATTTTGTTTATCTTGGATTTTAGGCTTGCATTTGTTGTGGGGCTTATGGTCTTCATGTTTTCATATGAATTTACAGGTTTGCAAGTTTTTAGAGGTATCCAGGTTATCTTTTTTGCCAGAGTATGGACCTAAACTAAAAGAGGACTATGTTTCAGTCAAACATTTGCCAAAGATTCCAAAATCTGGGGATGATAGCAGGTGTTGTGCATGCAAATGGTTTAGTTGTTGCAATGGCAACTGGCAAAAGGTATCAAATAACTTATAAGTTGTGTTGTAGGTTTTGATTTTACAAGTATAGATGAAAATTTTCTTTCTTTTCGGGACAGTATGGACTTCTTTGGGATCACTTTTGTTTTATGTTTTTACTTTTATTTTAAATACATGTTTGTTTGGTGCATTTATGTTTTTATTTTTTTGTTTTAAAAAATAAATTAGTTTGTTTTTTAAAAACACATAAAACATCTAAAAGTTATTTTGAGTTTTTTTAAAGTCAACTAAATATGTTTTATTTCACGATAAAATATATATATATAAAAGACAGTGGTCCCAAATGGCTTCTAAGTTTATCCAAGATTTTTTAAGTGTTATTCATGCCTTACAAGAACAAAATATACATTGCCTCAAAATTAAGGGCTTGTTGGGATAATTTTTTTGGTTTTAGTTTTATATTTTATATTTATAAAAATATGTTTGGTTAGTGTGTTATTTACATGTTTTTATTTTTTATTTCTAAAAATAAGTTGTCATGTTTTTTGAAAAAAACAAATTTTAAATATTTTGAATGTTTTTAAAAATAAGCATACTTTAGTCAAATAGCCAAACATATTTTATTTCAAATACATACATAAAATAAAATAAAAACAAAAAATAGAAAATAAAAAAACAAAAGTGACCTCAAACAACCCCTAAGTTTATGATTGAATACTATTGAGCCCTAAATGGAGTACACAAATTAAGCTTTGAATCATGTCAAAGATGTTATTTCTTTTTGTAATATTAGTATACAGTCAAATCTAGGCTTTTCAATATTTTATTTATTCTATCCAGTCTTATATGTTAGGCTAGGTTGTTAGCTTAGTGTACTATCTGATACCGGAGTTAACCAAAACAATAATAAGAACACCAATATTATTACTGAAAACAAATATGTGATTACAACCACACACAATTGAAAAGGACATACAACAACAAACACGAGCAAACATAACTAAATTTATCCAAAGGTGGTGGCCATTTTGGAGAGTGGACGACATCCATCTGCTGTTACTACCTGCTCCCATCAACCTTTCTCTTGCTGCTGCCAGCAATCCCACCTGCTGTCCAGCTTGTGTTCACTACTTTCATCTCGCCCTAGGACATTGTTTGTGTTTTGTGTTATTTTTTTCTTGTTTTAAGTAGCTTCATGTAATCATCTTGAATTTTCAGAAATACTACTATCATTTTGTTGTTTTTGGGCTAACTCTGGTTTCAATTATTATATACAATTATAAAAGGAAAGGTCCATGGGATATTTATTGAACTCTTTATGTATTGTTGATGCATGTGTTTTAATTTTCCTAGTAATGAATTTTTAATTAAAATTGGAAAAAACGAGAAGTTTATGGGACGTTATAGTATTATAAAGTTAATGATTATACCGTCAAAATATTTTTTTAACAACATGATTCTATCTGTTTTGGGTTTGGACCTTCACTATTAAATTTTTGATACTGCTTCCTGTTTGCTGGGATGCTTTAATACAACAAAAATCTTTGCTTATGATTTTATTTTGTTTATCTTGGATTTTAGGCTTGCATTTGTTGTGGGGCTTATGGTCTTCATGTTTTCATATGAATTTACAGGTTTGCAAGTTTTTAGAGGTATCCAGGTTATCTTTTTTGCCAGAGTATGGACCTAAACTAAAAGAGGACTATGTTTCAGTCAAACATTTGCCAAAGATTCCAAAATCTGGGGATGATAGCAGGTGTTGTGCATGCAAATGGTTTAGTTGTTGCAATGGCAACTGGCAAAAGGTATCAAATAACTTATAAGTTGTGTTGTAGGTTTTGATTTTACAAGTATAGATGAAAATTTTCTTTCTTTTCGGGACAGTATGGACTTCTTTGGGATCACTTTTGTTTTATGTTTTTACTTTTATTTTAAATACATGTTTGTTTGGTGCATTTATGTTTTTATTTTTTTGTTTTAAAAAATAAATTAGTTTGTTTTTTAAAAACACATAAAACATCTAAAAGTTATTTTGAGTTTTTTTAAAGTCAACTAAATATGTTTTATTTCACGATAAAATATATATATATAAAAGACAGTGGTCCCAAATGGCTTCTAAGTTTATCCAAGATTTTTTAAGTGTTATTCATGCCTTACAAGAACAAAATATACATTGCCTCAAAATTAAGGGCTTGTTGGGATCATTTTTTTTGTTTTAGTTTTATATTTTATATTTATAAAAATATGTTTGGTTAGTGTGTTATTTACATGTTTTTATTTTTTATTTCTAAAAATAAGTTGTCATGTTTTTTGAAAAAAACAAATTTTAAATATTTTGAATGTTTTTAAAAATAAGCATACTTTAGTCAAATAGCTAAACATATTTTATTTCAAATACATACATAAAATAAAATAAAAACAAAAAATAGAAAATAAAAAAACAAAAGTGACCTCAAACAACCCCTAAGTTTATGATTGAATACTATTGAGCCCTAAATGGAGTACACAAATTAAGCTTTGAGTCATGTCAAAGATGTTATTTCTTTTTGTAATATTAGTATACAGTCAAATCTAGGCTTTTCAATATTTTATTTATTCTATCCAGTCTTATATGTTAGGCTAGGTTGTTAGCTTAGTGTACTATCTGATACCGGAGTTAACCAAAACAATAATAAGAACACCAATATTATTACTGAAAACAAATATGTGATTACAACCACACACAATTGAAAAGGACATACAACAACAAACACGAGCATTTTGGCGAGTGGACGACATTGAGGATGGCGACGAGGCGGGGGGTGGCTGTAGGGGGCGAAGGGAGGAGGTGA